TGTGTGTCGACTTTACAAGAAAAATAACACTATTTGAGACCTGTAGAGTGTAAAGGTAATAATAAAAGAGTTCAAAATTTTTTTGATCATAAAAATAGTTTAAAATTTTAAGCAAACAATTATATCGTTATACTATGAGGGATGTATCTTTAATATTTCACACTGTTCTTGTGAGGTGTAAGTGAAACAAACTTCTAAAGTGTTTTTATTTTATTTTAATTTAATGTAAATCACCTTTAAAAACATAAAAATTATTAGCATTTTTTTGGTGGGTGGAACCTTGGCTTAGTATTAGCCGGTAATTAGGGTCTCTTTTTGCAGTGTAAGGCCCAGATGAATAGTTTACAATCAAGGCAGAGGTGAATAACACAAATGATAGGACACTTAATTATTAGAATTTGAAGATTAGACACGTCATAAATATGAATTGACCCATGGCTTTTTGGGCCAAGACTCCTGGCCCAGTCCCTAGATCGCTTGTAGAGGGTTATTTAGGGGGCTATTTGTTTGGTATAAAAAAAACTAAAGAAATCAATTATAGGAAATATATTTTCTACATTGGGTTTCTTTTATTTGTTTAGTTCACACCTGTGAAGTAAAAAGATGATGTGGCAAATTGTTATTGAATAATGTCACTTATATTTATATTTAATGAAACTCATTTTGTAAGTTTTTATAAAGGAATGAATCTAAACTCGCTCTTCTTTTTCTTTGGTTTCTAAGAAACCAGTCGTTAGCAATTGGACATGAAAATTATCCAAATCGCCTTCCCTTGTTCTTACCAGGCAAATTACAAATAAGCCCCGAGTCTTAGTGCTCTTGGGTACACGCTAGGAATGGATAACAATTTACAAAAGAGGACATTAAGCAATCCAAATACCTCGTAAGCACTCCACCTTGCCGCTCACACGTGAAAGGGCTATTTAGTAAATTTTCAAACCAAGGACCGACAAGAGTGATGCTTGACTCCACCTAGGGGTGTCCAAAAAGCCCGGAGCCCGGGCCCGGCCCGGTGTCCGGCCCGGGCCCGGCCCGGTCGTGCCCGGGCCCGGCCCGGTCGTGCCCGGGCCCGGGCCCGACCCGGGCCCGGAACCCCGGGCAAAACCCGGGTCCGGGCCCGGGCCCGGGTCGCCGTTGGCGAGCCCGGCCCGGGCCCGGAACAGTAAAATTTTTTAATTTTTTTTATTTTTTTTTATTTTCTTATATATAAAATATATGTATATGTATATATATTGTGTATATAATATATATATATATATATATATATATATATATATATATATATTATAGCAGAGAGAGAAGAGCGGATGAGACAATAGGAAGAACCTTGGCTACAAGGGACTTAAAGCCAACTTGCGTAGTGATGTGGCCAACTAATCTTGCCCCTACATCACACCTCGAAGATGAAGCCTCAACCACCCTTCACCAACTCCAATATAGGATGTAATGGACATAAGATTAGGCCACAATCACTACCAACTTGTTTGCGCAAGCAACTAACTGAGCCCGGTAATCCTACCAAGTTTCTCCAATTTTCTCACTATATATATATTATATATAATATATATATATATATTATATATATATTAATATTTTTATATATAACTTATACTTCTTCTCTTAGGGTATATAATTATATATAAGTATACTCTCTTTATATAAGTATATATTATGTTATAAAATATGTCTGATTCAATATATGTATAAGTATATATAATACATATAAGTATAAATGTATACTCATCTCTTATATATGATAATATATATATAATATACTATATAATATATATTATATATCATATATAATATATATATATATATAATAATATAATATATGCTTAACTATATATATATAAGTATACAGTGTATACTCTCTTAGTATAAGTATATATCAGCTATACTCTCTCTTATTTATTTATATATCTCTTTATATAATTTTATATATATATATATATATATTATATATATATATATATATATATATTATATATATATATATATATTAATATATATATATATATATATAATATATATATATATAATAATATAATATATATTAATATTATATATATATATATATATAATAATATATAATAATATATATATTAAGTATTAATAGTATAAGATATACTCTCTCTTATATATGTATAATATATGTGTGATACTATATAAGTTTATATGTGTGTGTCTGTTTATTATGTATAATACAATTTGTTTATGTAATTACTATAAGATTTACAATTTGTTTATGATATATATATGTATATGTGTGATCAGTGCTGTGTGTGTATATAATATACATATACATAATAATTTGAATGACATGAATACTTTGGGCATACTTAGTATATAAAGTTATATAATAAATATAAGTATATTCTCTCTTATATATATGTTATATTCTCTTATATAATTATATATATGTTATAAGTATGCTCTCTCTTATATATTGTGGTACAGCGTATACTCTCTCTATATATATATATTTATATATTCTCTCTCTCTTTAGCTATATAAGCTATACTTATATATACACATAAATAAACATAAAACTTATATGCTACATAATATAAGTATATTTATATAATAGTTAAATAACATATAAGTAAGTTATAAATATATATTTATATTATCTATACAAATATATCAATAAACATAAACTATATAATGTACATATAATATAATTAATAATTTAATAAGAGTTATAAATAATATATATACTATTATATAAATATTAATTTATGTTTTATATGTTTTTTAAAAATTTTAAAAAAATAAAAAAATAAAAAAACAAAAAAAATCCGCGGCCGGCCGTCGTCGCCCGGCGCCGGCGGGCCCGACGGCCCGGGCCCTGGGCCCCCGGAAAC